CAAATCCCTTTTGCATCAGTCTTACCTGCACTAGGGTTAAAATAGTTGCTAAGAGAAAAGGATGTCTCTCCTATGCAGGTCGAAAGACAGCGCACAAGCGTGACCAGGAGGGTTGTGACATCTGCTACTAGACACGTGTAACACAGGACAATATCTTCACCTGATGGGACCTGCAGAGGCAAGAGCAGCGGAGGAGCCTCCTGAGAAACACAACTAGCAGAACTGGATTTCCACAATCCCGCATTCAAATCCGTGTCTGCTGTCTAACGAGGAGCGAGTTGATTACCCCTTCCCACTGTGGGAGCACCCGTAACCATCGCTCCCCTTGACCCAGGCACCTGCTTTCACAAAAAGGTCCCCCAAATCCTTTTTGGGACAGCGACCGCTATCCGATTTACCTGAAATGAGGCAATAGCTACTGTGGGGAAGGTGAGAACTGGGAAAATTTGGCTGGTGATCTGTGCCACATTTCCTTGGGAGAGCGGGCCAAATTTGGGTAACAGACACATGAACTACGTTGCAGAACGAGCTGCTTCAAAAATAAATGGTTTTAAAAGTGTTCTCTAGCTACTGGGTTTGAACCAGGGAAGAATTTCTTCACATTTACACGTCGAGCATTTGTACCAAAGTCCAGCTACACTTCTCCTTTCTCATACATGACGTTGAGAAAAAACTTTGGGATTATGGTTTACACCTTCCCTCCCTCCCCCCCCACCACCCCCCTGGGTTGCACCCCCTTGCGGTGAGCTGAAGCATCTCTGACACTTCTGTTCTTTTTCAGAAACAGACTGAATTCAAACCAGCAGCCCCGGAGGATCCGCTCTTACACTTGAGAAGAAATTTTTGGTCTTTAAGAAACCCATGGGCCGGCCTGATCCAAACCTCAGGAGCAGGACGTGGTGATAAAGCACTGCCGTAAATGAGACCTTTGAGCACAGCACAAGAGAGAGCACGCGTGCAAAAACTGGGCACTTAGTGCAGAGCTCTCGGTGGCCCGGCCGAGGAGATGGCTGAGAGCTGGCGGAGGCGGGGGCTCAGCTCGACCCAGGAAATAGGATGCTCTTGTTTGCTTTTCAGTGGACAGACTTTCAGATTTCATATTCATATACCGATGCCTACAGCTGCCTATACAAGCATAACTGAATCTCAGACATTGTGTAAACAAGGTCATTGCTTAGATATGGACTATCATGGCACAGTACTCTTTTTTTTTTTTTTTTTTTTTTTATTTTTTCATCTGTCCGTTAAGGTGTTTGTTCTCTAAAGGTTGGCATGGCTGCATATATGCTCTCCGCCCTTTCTGGTCCTTAAGCCCTGGAAATGAAGGGCTTTGCAGGCACACAAGTGTGTGTGTGTGTGTGTTAGGAAAGGAAAGGTATCTGAGAAGAAAACTGCCAGTCTTGCATTAAAGTCCAGTGGGAGTTGAGTGAGATTTTCATCCCTACAGATGAGGTTAGATTTAGCGTTGCATACTCTCCAATAAGTAGCAGGTTCCCAGACCCAGACAACCCAGGAGATGGAGTTTGGTGTCGTTTGTCCCTTGCTGGCTAGAATATTTTCCTTGTGCTCCTGGAGACTGACTAGCAGGCTATTAAATGTCCAAGTCTCCCTTTAATCAGGTCACGACAAGCTGCTCGCCTCCAACAGAACGAGCTTGGGAGCCCGTCAGCCCACGCCTCAAGTTTTTCCTGATTTTTGAAGACGTGCCTACACAGCACTGAGTTTCCTCTCGTCTGCTTTGCCATGCATATACCAGAATGGAGCAGCCTGATTTTACTTAACATAAACCCACCAGTATCCACAAAAGGTAGACGAAACTTCTGTTAAAAACAACCCTAAATCTCACGTTCCCAGTTTGGTCTCACTCCAGTGGGCAAATAGGTGCATAGGGAACGACTGTTAAATGTGGGGCTTTAGATGGAAAGGCAGTTACTCCCCATACTTTTAAAAGAAAAAAAAATCCCAGAAAACCACCACCCAGTTCTTGGCTAATCACTCATCTAAGAAAAGCCTGTTTAGTTACTAGCTTTCTCAAGTGCATCCAGGAGATGTTTTGCCAAGAATGCTGGACTAATCCCAAAATAAAAACAATGCTATGTCTAGCTGTATAGGAGAATCAGCTTTTTTTTTTAAAAAGAAAAAAAAACCGAAAAACATTGTTCTCGAATGAGGAGTAATCCACACAGACTGAGGCTCTGAAAGGACAGCATTAGACTTGCAGCTCAGGCTGTTGGGCACTAATGTCAGCATTTACGAAAATCAACCAGACCCTCGATTTTCATTTTTGTTTCTTATGCCTCAGCCAGACTTCCATAGCTCAGCTACACCCGAATGGTATCGATTTATATGGTATGCAAAAGCGCTGTCAGTTCCAACACTGTTTCTACATTAAACTCATCTGGAAATGCAGACATCCACTTGGGTTTTCCGTAGCATCCTTCCTCAACTGTGACAATGTGACCCAAGAACATAAAGTCCAAGTTCTAGCCCCCAAAAGATGCAAATTCTGCAAACTTCCTCAGTAACGAAAAGATAACAGGGAAGAACAATTACCTCTTACTCCATTCCTTAAGAAATATCACATTCTCCACAGCTGTACACACTAAAAGAAGTAATCCAATACAATAGTCTCAATTTATTTGAAATAATTCGGTTTGAAAACTTTTTAATTTAAAATTTACAGCACACGTGGGGAAGAAATATGTTTTGTTACAACTAAAAATTATCAGAAGAGTGCTGCAGGGTTGTTTTCTTTAATTTAACACTGTCATGGCTTTATTCAAAACACAGTTGCACAAAATCAGTTACTCCAAAGTTTAAGGAAAGAGTTTGATAAGGAACCGAAACACACTATATACATACTGCCATACAAAGAGCATTAAAATAGGACAAAACCTCTACAAAATATAAAACCCACCCTTACATATTTGCATGAAAAGACCACCCACCAAGCAAAAAAGTTTCAAAAGTTATCTGGAGGCTCTGTATTACTTATTTTTTAAAAAATGCTATGCTGTTTAATTGCATGCCAAGCTGACAAATAGGAAACTATACTTAGATGGTGACACTGAGGAAAAGACAAAGTTACTTGGGAAGTTTTGGGTGAGGCTCAGATTTTTAGATGGAGCGGCTGATGCACGACCCTGCAACTTGGTTTTAGGAAGCGTTAAGTCTGCCTATGTCAGGGCAGCTCTGCTAACCCCTTTTGAGTTTATTCTCTTTTGTCCAATTAGCTCATCCAACGGCAAAGTTGGACTCACTCACTGAAACAAGACCAGTACTCAAATAATTTTAATCCATCAAAATAGATTATTTTTTTTCCCCGTTTATAACTAATGTTGTATGCATCAGTAAAAGACAGTTAAGGAAAACCCTGACAATGAGGTACTTTAAAGTACACGCTTATAAATAAAAGGTTTCAATCATTCCCCAAGAGTAAAAGAAAAAAAAGCAAAAAAATGGGAAAACACACTTTTCTACCTCAAAGCTGAGCACAAAGCAACTGCCTTGAACACAGAGCCTCCACGACAAGATAGGATGTGCACTTACCTAAGGTTTCTATTCATTCAGTATTCATACACAAACACAGGAACTCAGATTGTGGTTGCAAATGTAGTTTTACCACTACTTTTCTAGTGTCTTTACAGATATTCATTAAAAAATGCAAAACCCATTTAGTCAGTTCATTTCCAAGTATATTGCCATCTGCCTGACTCGTTTCGTTCCGATGCCGTTAATGGCTGACTATGCTTTACAGCTACATGAGAAACTATGATTTAAGGCTCTATTCGGGGGAAAAAAACCCACACACACAAGAAATAGGGCTTTGCAGAACTTCAACCCTGCAGTATCTAAACTTGATTTAAGAGTTGGAAGTCACATTTAAAGTCTGCTAGTGTGTGAAATACCTATTAAATATTCACAGGTAACCGATCTACGGGTGACTGACTGACTTAGGTCCAGGAATCTCCCTCTTCCCCACCCTCGGTGTCTCCCCCAGTTTAATGGCAGCTATCATCAGCCAAGACAGATATAAAAATAAGTCTCTTGAATAAAGCTGTGTGTGATATTTGGTTCAGTACCTACGTGAAACAATGTAAATTAGTTTTATATCAAGACTACTGTTTTAAGTCCAAATCATGGCTGAAAGAGGAATGCTCTACGTCTGAACTTGTTTCGCAGTGGCTGAAATAGAAAACATGAATCCATTGGGGCAAAACTATTAAGACCTGTTGGTCGCAGTCGGGCTGCTAGAAAAAAGCTTGTCTGCATGTCTCCTGTACGCGCCACCGACTGTATGCAATGGAACAAGTTTCTGCAGCCATTCAATATAAAAATCCCTAAACTATTAACTAGTATTATACACGAACTTGAATGTTTTGCCTACAACCAGATTTTAAAAGTTTAAAAGGTGACCTGCGAGAAAGACAAACTCATGTTCATCCTTCCCCCTTCAATGATTCTATAAAAGTGTGGGGTTGGTTTGAAAAAAAAATAAAAATAAATGTGCTCGAAGGAGTTACCCGTTAACTTCTGCATTAGAAATGCATATATTTTATAGCCAAACACCATGATTGTTGCAGAATTCCCAAAATGACAATGCAAGAGTGAAGTGAGTGGACGTTTAACAGAGACTTCTAGCGAAATGGTTTACAACTACAGATTATTTGCTTTTGTTAATACCTGCAATAGCTGTGTGTTTTGGAGAAAATTTACAGATTACAACCCTTTCAATTTGCCACGATACATTCTTGAAGGGATCTAGTGAATACTCCAGCAAACACTGAACATCTGAACAAGCAGGGGAAAAAAAAAAAAGATGGTCTTCTGAAACCCACAAAGGCTTTACAATGTAACGCACAAAATGGATAGAAGACTTAAAAAAAAAAATATTACAGGAGTCACCTTTTAAAAAGCTGAAATGAAGGTGTAATCTAGTTGTCGATTTCAAATCGAATCCCTGGTAAACTCAGACTACAGTCAACATCTCATTTGAGAGAGACTAGAATTTGCCATATAGCATTTTTGAGTTCAGCTTTTTAAGTATAAAAACTTTAAATAATCTTGAAGGAAATTCACAATATTAAACCCATGTTGAAAAGGGTGTTTTAACTCTGGGCTAATGATGACCAACACAGCAAGCTTGTATGAAATTAAAGAGCTCCAAATAAAAGTCTAGGGGGAAAAACTTGACCATGGCTTCAGTAATTATAGGGCTGAAAATTGTTTTCTACATATAGGTTCACTAACAGGCTATTATATCTTATTTGGAATGATAAAAAGGGCAAGAATAGTAAAACCACACTTCTCCTATAAAAAGTTAACATATTATCTTCTGTAGGGACATCTATGGTACATGGAGACATACAGATCTGCATAATCACTATTGCGTATTCTGTAACTGAAGAGTCTGGTCCTACTTGTGTCTATAACAAATTAATCATCCTCTTCCTCGCCTTCGTCTTCAGGCTCTCGTTTCCTCTTCTCCCCTCGGATGCCCTCTGCTAAGGAAGAGAGGTATGCAGACATCTCGTTATGTTCTGCTCAGACATCCTAAATGTAACGTTATACTTATAGAAAAGGTAATTGAAATAGATTAACATTTGTTTGTAGTTAATGCATTCCCCACTATAACATCTCTGTGTTGCTTATGGCTCTCAAAAAACGATCAGTTTACATTACTCTGAATAATTCATGCAGGTCGTATGAAAGTAAGTTCAAGATAAGCATGTGATGTTCCATACAGGAATTATTGATATGAAGTAGATTTATAAAAAAAGTGTTTCTTTTAAAATACGAGAACCAAAATGGAAGTGACATTTCTCTATCTCCCTAACTTTAGTTTTTCGAGGTTGCACACGCCCTGCCCAAACCCCAGCAGGTTCTGCAGATACCAAGTGAAACACGCTCCCTTCCCTCTCCAATGACAAACTGATATAAGCATCTTGCATAAACATCTTTGAGCTTATTCTTAGAAATATGCTTAATTCAGTCAGTGGACTATGCGCTCTTGTGGTGAAATCATGAAATGCAATTTTGTCAAATCTAATAGATTTATTTTCCAGCAGTCATTTCCTGGCTAATTAGCCATCCTGACCGCCTGCTTTGTTGTCTTAATAGATTCAAAGGCTGCATTTGTAAAGAGTGAAGAATTAGCATTACTAGAGAATTTCAGTTTTTTCAAGTGCAAGACGCATCTCCAAAAACTGCTCCGTTAAGCCAAGCGTACAGAGGAGAGGAGGACTAGTCTGGTGAGAAATTCTAGAATTTGTCCACAGTTTACACAGACTTCACAATTCATACAGAACTTTGCTGCTACAGATAGTTTAAAGATTAGAGCAGAGTTCCTAACCATCAGAAAAGTGAACTTCTGGGAGAGCCTCATAGCAAGAAAAGCACAGAGGAAAAGCCAGCTAATTTTAAGATGAAGCTTGATGGTTTTTCAGAAGGGCCTTTAGCAGGCATTGAGTGGTAGTAACAGGGGACACCCATCCAGTGTCTTCATCTCACCACTTCCAACACAGAGATGCACAAAACTAAGCCACCCACCCACCCACCCATCAGAGCGCACCGGTATCTGCACAGGAACCAAGAATAAGCCTTCTGATGCGAGAGCAACTTCTGTTCCAGCAGTCCAGAACAGAGTAGGAGCATTGAAGTTAAGGCTGGTCCCTACCCTGAGCACCTGGAAACCTCAAATGAGGTGCAAAAAAGAATGAGCGATATGTTTGTCCTGTTTAACTCCTTGCAGGTCCTTTTTAAAGTATCAGATAAAACAGAAAAATATTTTATGAAAAAATACTCAACCCACTTCTTGCAAACAGAACTTTACGTTCTGAAAAATACCAGAGGAGCAGCATCAGCCTGCAAGAATGCCACTTCTTCCACATCAGCTGTGGACACTCAATACGCTGCACCATCTCAAAGCAGCATGAACCACACACACCGGCTTTTTTTTTCCTGCAAGCTTTTGACTTTTATGCATGTGTCTGACATTAAAACAGTAATTTATGAAATTAAGAAGTTCCAACCATTGATAAAAAGACGAATATGATTAGGCTCATTAGCTAAGCCGTTAGACAGGATACTGGCAGAATCGACCTCTGAAGAAAGATTTACTGGAGAAGCCGCTTTCAGCTTGATAAAGGGAAAAGTTAGAGCAGCTACTGCTGCTGCCAGGGCTTTGCCAGTGGAGCCGCTGGTGCACAAAACAAGGTATTTTAAATGTACAAATAACATTTGCAAGGCACGCGGAAGAGTCCCTCTTCTCTCCACGCTGGAAAATTAACATTCCTAACTGTGTAGGAGATGCAGTATCTTTCATTTTAGAAAACTGTTTCAAGAAGAGACCTTGAAAACTGTCATTTCTTCTTTATTTTTATTTTACAAGTGAGCAGACAAAGAAATATCGAATACTGCACAGCTACTTTACTACCTGCTTGAGCTCTTGCTTAAACCGTTCCTAAAATACTTCACATACCTTCAGAAACAGACCAGCCAGCAATTTATGCCATTAAAACACACATCCCAAACTTGCCAAGTTAGAGAATTATAAAGAATCAATTGGTTTAGTCACAACTTTAGTAACATGAGAACTTACCTTCTTCCTCCTCATCACCTCCTTCTTCAACATAGTCATCATCATCATCTTCATCCTTTAAAAAAAATTGTGAAATACTTTAAAAATTGCCATTTATTTAAGTTTTGCTTCCATGCTGATCCTGAGCAGAAACTCACTCTCTCTCTTCAGAGGTCACATTCCACATTTACTTTTTGTAACTGGACATCTGTACAAGGACGGGCAGCCAAACGCACTGCAGCGCGCTGAATCACCCAGGCCCGGTATTATCTGGCCCAGTATTCGTGTTTCTTTGTTTTTCCCCCCACTTATCACTACCTTACGCCAGCTCAAGAGTACGTTATTGCAAAATTAACTGAAGAGGCCACGACAGCAGAGAGAGATGACAAAACAGCTTTAGTTTTCCTTTTAACCCACTGTCATTAAAGAACAAGGAAGAAGAGAAAGCACAGCAGTTAATATCTTCACAAAATTATTGTTTCTATGTCAAATGAATTAAGTTGTTGGGTTGGGTTTTTTTTCTTGTTTTTTTCAAGCTGATAGCTGAAAAATGTAAACCAATTAACAATCAGCAGCCCCAGAAAATTAAACAATGGTGCAAGATCTCTGCCCTACTGGCACCATGTCAAGCCTTGAAGATGAACTGAAGCCTTATTTTTGTCTCCATCTGCTACATCCAATTTTATGCATAGGATAACGTAACAAGTGAAAACGTGAAACTCCTAGAGACCTCAGCTGACATTTGCCCTTGGACCATAGGAACTGAAAACAACTCTGCATTAATTCATTACAATTGGAATGGTGCATGATTTAATTTTCCAAAATACAGGGAAAAGCTAGCGGACTACAACTCTTTCAAAACTTTACGTGCTTCACCCTGACCGCCACCTCTTCCTTACCTCAATGAATGCAAAACACAAACTCAGCGTCTGGTTTTGTTGCGCCACCATCAGAAGGGCCACAGCTCTGAACTCCCTAACATCGTCACAACCGTGTGTGACAATTCCTAACCACCTCACCTGCACAGTATTTACATAAACTAACGACCACACACTATTTAGTTCCTGATATTCTTCCTAGTCACATCTTATTCCTTTTCCAAAGAACTGTCTCTAAGGTCTCGGCTTCAAAAGAGATTTACTTACTTAGTTTTAGCTTCATTAATTGTGTCACAGCCATTACTTCTTCAAGAGTATTAAGACAGGAACGAAGTTACATTTCTAAGCAAATGATACCAGCGCTCATTACAAGAACAAAATGAAGAACACCACAGAGTTCAGCTCAAGATTTTCTGCGCGCCCCGTGAAATGCAGCTGCTCGGATGTAAACTCTGATCAAAAGTAACAGTAATGGAAGTGATGTCAACAGGGTTTACTTTATCTGAAACGTGTGAGCTGCTTGCACAGCCTCGCACACAAAATCCACACCAGACACATCCTCCCTCAGAAACCCTAAAAAGAATACCAAGGCAGCGCTCCTGGGTTTTACTTCTATCCAGTAAGTATTTAGGTGTGAGCACTTTATATCTACAAGAATCTGTTCACAACCTTGTAAAACGTGTATATTTTCTTAATACTCCTCTATTTGCTTTTTAGCACAGTACTATCTGAAAGATCCCGTGGGCTATTTTCCACAGCTCTTCACACCACCACTGAGAACATTTTTCAAGTGAGCGCGTGGTAAAAAACCCAGCATTTATTACAGCAAAAACATAGACTTTTCCTTTGTTTCATTTTTCTTGAAGTACTGGTAACTCATTGCTACTTCATTTTCTTTCGCAAGGCCAAGGTATTTTCTTTGGTTTTCCAAAAGAAATTAATTTCTTCTACTTAATAAGTATTTGTATTCTGACAATTTAATTGGTAGTAACGCGTAGTTTCAAAATGTTGGGGAGAACGGTTTCTTTAGCTTACAGAGAATAAAGAGGCTCCACCACCCTGCAACGTTAAGGGGTGGGATAAGAGTGAACGGCGCCTTGGAAGGCAGCCAGGAGCATCTTCATAGCTGACAGCCACCACTCATGTCCCAGTCAACACTGATTTCAGTGACAGCAGCATTCCCGCCAAAATACCTCCCTGCATCTACCCTGCATTTGTACGCTGTGCCTGCGGGTTTCATTAACACAGGGGTCTGTAGGGCAGTTTTTCTTCGTTTCTTGGATTTGGTAGAATTTACAAACTTTACCTGAATCTCTTCTTTCATCAGGTATGAAAGACCAACTTCCTCCTCCTCTTCACCTTCCCCCAAATCTGAACCACCGTCATCTTCATCATCTTCCTCTTCATATTCTCCTGGAGGACCAGCTTCATCCTCATCTTCATCATCGTCATCTTCATCTCCTTCTGAAACACAGGATACACTTACACATATACACTAAAAGTTAAGTTTCATTAACTCCTCTTTATGCAAGTTTGTGTATGTCAGGTCAAGCTAGTTGTAACTTCTTTTCCAGAAGGGTTTGGGATTTTTTTTAAATTTTTTTTAAATGCAGACAACACTTGGGAAACAAGCATGATTTTAATGACGTTAATCTTTGTAATTTTTTCACCTGAAGAAAGGCTACCAATGTTTTTGCATCACAAGTCTCAGCTAAAATTCTCAATGCCTGAAGCAGCGACATATGCAAACTCCTGCGAGGGAGCTGAAAATTTAGTCAGTGGAAGGGGAAGAGAGGCTTCTCTACAGAATCAAACCCTAAAATATTTAAAGGCAAAACCAGCTTAACATATTACCTGCATCTGTTATTTAATCACTTAGTAGTAACTATGAAACACCTACAGTTCCAGAGAGATGATCTCTCATTTCAGTTCTGTCTGGAGCATAGAATCACAGTTTCCGTTAAGCGAATTACAAGAAATGAGAAGGTGATTTAACACTTAAATTCGTTTTCAAGTTAATAACCTATTAATCTATTTGCAAATATTTGGTTTATTGTCACATTCCAAGTATCAATTATGTGGTCTTCATCAGTTCTTTTAAACACAGGCTTCCAAACTGTGTCCGAGTGCTCGTCAGCAGCCCCTTGACAGCCACGACCCAGCACGCTGCGGTGGCGGCTCCCTGCTCATCATTTAAGGCACAAAGAACACACCGAGAAACCTCTGTCATAAACAGATGCAGCCCCGATCTCGCTGGTTATTTGTGTGGGTATTTAGAACATAGACATGCACAAGACGCTGCATCACAACAACAGCCCATCAGATTTGCTAACACGTTTTGGAAGTGTTTTTTCTGAACAGCTTTGAGCGTGTCAGTCATCCGTTAAGCCAAGTGCGTTTAAAGAAGAGCACGCGTACTGCTCCTGCAATCACATCAGCGCAGAGTTTGCAGCCCCACACCGACAGACCTTTACCTACAGATTTCGTTTTCAATCAGGTAACGACAGAAAAAGATGTAGGAGTGGCCTCGTTAATGACTACAACCGAGGTCAGATCAGAAGGAACTATATACATTTTTTTAACCAAAAAAAAAAAAAAAGTATTACACTTGAGCACGGGACTGAAGCCATTACAAAAAAAAAAAAGAGTTAAATTATCATTTTTCATACAAAATAATGTGTGTTTGTCGGCCCACTTTGTATCATTCAGTAGTGCCAAAGAGCTTTACTACTGGCAACAACTTATTTTGAGAATATTTATATCTTTGTACCATCATCTTTAGTCAAATTTCCTCAAACTTAGAAGGCTTCTGCAAGAACACTCAAAACCTCTGACAGTTTTCCTTCTGTATCACACTGCGTTAATACCAACCGAGTTCTAGAAGTCTGTGCTTCAAAAAATAAGAGCACAGAATTGTGTTAGAGCATTCAAGAAGTCACTATACCCCACGCCACATTTACATCTTTGTTACGGCATGCTAGTTCTATGCAGTTTATTTCAGGAAGTTACCCTCATCATCATCATCTTCCGAGTCCGGTGCCTCGTTATCTTCCTGATCAAAGCCATCTAGGTACGTGATTTGCTGAAGCAGCTCAAAAATGCTGTCTCTGTAATCCTCGAGGTTCGTAATCTCACAGTTGAACAGGTCAAGGCTCTTCAAGTTTTTGAGATTTTGCTGGAAATAAATGAAAAGGGTTTTTTTCCCCCCCTATTTATTGATGCAGAACTTCAAGTAACAGTGCAGTCACGGTCCAAATACAGTTAACCATATAGCCAGAGTTGATTTTGTACCCATCCCCTCTTTTCTGTTCAGTATTTTGCTCCCCATTAAAGACAAACTTCAGTGCAGAAGGTTGTTTGCAGTAGTTGGAACTCCTAACGAAGGCGGTTTTGCCGATCGCCTCCACAGCGCATCTGCCGCACACCCAACACATCCTCGAAGTACGAGACCACCGTGCACAGACCATGGAACACGTGTTTGGGTTTGCTTTTCATTTGATTGTTGTTCAGGCAATCCCGGGCAAAAACTTAACGACTCCAGCAGCCTTTCAGTAAACTGACTGATTTAATTACAGGCGCATCTTGTGAGGCGCAAGCAAGAGGTAGGATTTATAACCACACTACAAAATTTGCTTTCCAAACAGTAAAGACTAGACAACCGATGGCGATTTTTCCCACCTTTACGACTTTACATACAGCCCGAATGAGCCACCTGCGTAGGTCAGCAGGCACCTAAGGTCTAAATAAAAGTGTTTCTTCTATAGAGCATTGTGATGGCTTTACTTGCTCTACTAACTGCTGGCTTAAAGCACTGTTAAAGTAGACAAAGAATCTTTACCAGCAGTTTTAAAAATATGCAGTCTATAGCAAAGTCTTAATAAATAAAATAATAAAATAATCAGCTAGAAAAATGGGTGCGCAGGTCAGGCAGCGACAGGCGCCAGCAGGTTCCTCCTCCGTGTCCATGACCTGCTCCTGCTGCTTTCCAGGTTTGCTCCTGCCTGGCCACCTCACACGCGTCCTAATCACCTCACAGTTTAACGAAAGCTTAAGGCAGTTGCTTATTAGACAAACTGTACCTTAACAAAGGAACACAAGAGGATTAGCAAGACATAACTTGGCTACTTTTCTTTCAAAGACAAAACAGAAGCTCAAAAATCTCCTATTTAATCCATCCCACCGCTACCACAGAAGGAATTTTACAGCGGGACGTTTGCAGGCGCTGTCTGTAATAACCGTGACATTGAGTTAATCGAGTCGGGACCAACTGGAATATGGACAAACCTAAAACACCGCAGAACCCATTCCTCCTGAGCTGGCGAGAAATATAAATATATAAGAGAGAACATATGACAGGTAAGAAAAGAAATTGCATTTTGCGTGCATTTCGGCTGAAGAGGAACATAAGCAGCGAGAACATTCACGCTGTATCTTTGTACTCGCCGATTTCTTACATCGCACCACTTTAACCTCACCACGTGCTGTCTCTGAACAGTGCCTGGAATAACAGCTCAGACACAGCCCCTACAGATAAGGTCGCACCATTCCATCGCAAAATAATTTATTATTGATAAAAAATAGTATTTATTAGATTGCACTTTTCCATGAGCCCCTCTCACTTCATACTTACAAGAGCTTCCACAGTGCCAAGATCTTTGATTTTGTTGCCACTTAGATTTAGATATGTGAGATTTGGACATCTTTCTGCAAGGACCTCCAGGCCTCCTGAAATGATGTTGTCACTCAACTCCAACTATTATACAGGGAAAAAAAAAAAAAAAAACAAGCTAATTGAATAGTTGGCTTCGTACCGTTACACTCAGACCCACATCATTTTTAATTGTTCTCCGTTTAACCGAACAGTTTAATCACAAAGCTGAACACTTTTGAAGAGTCCCCCAAGTTGCCAAGCACCAGTTGTGTTATCGCTTTGGCTGTCAAGAAGTTCCTTTTGGTTTACTTTGAGAATTAGAAAACATTTCTTAAAGTCCCATGGGTTGGGATAGCTACATTTAAAGTTACTAGAATACACAACCCTGGGATTCTCTGCAAGCCTTTACTCTGCCAGCGACGTGCAACTTGCAGTCACAGAATCATTGAGGTTGGAAGAGACCTTCGAGATCCTCAAGTCCAACCATTAACCCAGCCCTGCCAAGCCAGCGCTAAGCCACAGCCCTCAACGTCACCAGCCGGGCCACCCACCAGCCTGGTACCCACCACCGGCACTCCCCAAGACACCACCCACCTCCGCGTTTTTAATACCCAAGCAACTATTGTCCAAAGAGTCATTGACCAAGCCCAACTTGGCCTTAATTAGCTGGAGATACCTAAAACAATTTCAGATCTTAACAAAATAGGAAGGTAGCCAGGCCATGGCATGGAGGCCTACCACCTGCTAACGCACCGCCAGCACCACACCAGGTCAACCGTGAGCACCAAACGGCACAACCACAGGATGTCACCCACGACTTTGACTTCTCCAGGCGCCGGCAGGCGAGAGGTGCGTACCTTTCGGAGCTTACTCAACGTGGGAAGCTTGGCCAGCGACGTCAGCTCTACATTGGCCATGCTAAGGAACTCCAGTTCTTTAAAGGAATCATTCAGACCTTCGATTTCGCCGTTGCTGGATCGGCAGTTGTCGAGCACCAACTCCGTCACCTTCCAACAGGACAGCGAACCACTCGTCAGCTTCACGAGCACCAAAAAAACCCGCATGCTTCATCTAAACCACAACTTGGAGACTGTTAAATATCTGTTGGGGTTTGCTTTAAATTTAGACTAAACTTGCGGTCTGAAATCACCGACACCCGCCTATTGAACAAAATAAAAGTATGCGGCAGTTTCCCTTCCTCTGAGCACACTTTGAATTCTGCAAATCCTGCCGTCAAACCCCAAACTTCATTGATGGACACTTTTATAGCTTCCGATAGTGCCACCGCAGCCTGGGGTACGAGCCGCCCTCGCGCCCAACTGAACGGCTAACTTGTCACTAAAGTCTAATAATTTCACTGTGCCTATTCAAACCTATAAAATCATTCCATTTATTCCCAAACTAAACCTTCGGGCTCCACATTATTTTATCAGCGAGTTTTGCAGGTTAATTAAGCCTGACGAAATAATTTCCTCATGCCAAAGCCACTAAAACAACCAGATGATCAATACAGGTTGCGTACTTTGAGAAGCGATAACAAGGAGCCCCCAATCAATTTTAAATTATTTTATCTACAGCCGAACATACCGCTCATTAGAAAGGACAGTAACGAGGCAACTCTTCCTTTTCTGTCCTACCTCAAACCAGGACAGACAGCGTCATGTAAAGTCTCACTATTGTTTTATTGGTTTTGGGTTTTTTTTCCCCCCTTAGAAAAGATTCCTCCAGAGCAGCACGAAGTTTTAGAGAGCGCTGTCGGGGGAGAGGGGACCTTCACGCCTTCGCC